ACTTTTTGTACACTGTGCTACATAACTTGACATTCACTATGCTAGAATACTATCATTTCCATAAGTAACTTTATTTTCTACTTTTTCATCATATTGTGGGGGTCATACCTGGTGGTGTCTAGTAGTCATGTGGTACCAGCGATCAAATTCAGAGTTTTCGACACATAAGGCAAGTGTTCTACTATTTGAGTCACATATTAGACTCCACAGCATTCTATTGCCATTTGCTCAAGAAAATTAAGGTTTCAGTTGGTGTAAAATCAACACCAGTAAGTATAAACGCAGTAAGTATAAAATCAAGAGGCAATGTTTGGTTACACAGTGGTCAGCAAAATGGTCTAGACCAGATGGACACTAATACTTTAAAAACTATACTTCTAAATAAGGGCACAGGTTTACAGTTCTTGGTAGAGAATTTGCAATATGTATGATTCTAAGCACATAAAGAAAGGAGGTAGATGAGTGGCAGTCAGGGCATTGGAAAGGTAGGATGGAGAGCAACTGCTGAGGAGTACAGGATTTCTTTTTGGAGGTGATAAAAATATCCCACAATTAGAGAGAGAGTGATGTGGAAATCATCTGCCCCACGGGTAGGGGGAGGGTGTGGGATGGGGGTGTACTGGGGTTGCTGGGGGTGGAGAATGGGCACTGGTGAAGGTACGGGTGTTTCATTGTATGACCGAGACTTAGACCCGAAAGCTTTGTAACTGCTCTCACGGTGATTCAATAAATAAAATTATAAAAAGTGGAAAAATAAAAAGGCAGAGTTCATGCACAATTCAATCAGCTAATCAGTGGCTGAATAAACAGCAGTACTCCTACATAAAAATAAATCCCACAATTAAAAAGTGGTATGGCTGCCCAAATTTGCAGATGTATTGGAAATCATGGAATTGTACACTTTAAAGGGGTGAAGTTCGGGCTGGAGAGATAGTATAGTAGGTAGGGTAGCACTGAAGCACTGTCTTCCTGTTGTTCATTGACATGCTCAAGCAGACCCAGTAATGTCTCCATTGTGAGACTTGTTGTTACTGTGTTTGGCACATCAAATACGTCACGGGTAGCTTGCCAGGCTTTGCCTGATATGTGGTCAACCCTGCTTCAATCCCCAGCACAGCAAATGGTCCCTGAGCACAGCCAGGAATGATGCCTGAGTATAGTCAGGAGTAAGGCCTGATGACTTTTTGGTATGGCCCCAAAACAAAAATGAATAAAGATTCAAAAATAAAGAGATGAATTTCATGCTATATGATTTGTATCTGCATTTAATTTGTAGATACATTTGTATCTACATTCCTCAAGAAAAACTTTCCAAAAGAATAAAATATAGGGGCAGGAAGATAGCTCAAGTAGTAGATTTGTATATGCAAAGCCCTGAGTTTTACTTCCTGAGTGTCACTGGGTATAATTCTGGTGCCCCCTCCCCACACCCCCCAGCACGTCTATTCCTGAATGTCCTATCACTGGGCCCAAACAGGAACCTTCAGTCCCTCCGTCAGTGCAGATTGCTGGAAGTTGTCCTCTCACCCCATTTCCCAGCATTACAATGTTATCCCATATACTAAAAAAAAACAACATGTCAGGAATAGTAGTTGAGGGGAGTCTGAGGTGGCTCAGTGGCAAGAAGCATCTATTTTGCAAGCACGAGACCAGGAATTGATAGTCAATGGTGCCCTTGTGTTCTGCACATGGTCCCGGTGGATCTGCTGTCTGGGACCTCTGGTGCCACAACAGTGTGTAATCTCCAAGACACTGCAACTTGGTGTGTGTGTGTGTGTGTGCGTGTGTGTGCATGTGTGTGTGGGCACTGTAAGTAAAACAGCGGGCAAGTACCTTGGGCAAGGGCCTCTGCCAAGTGAGGGGGCACCACAACCAGATATGCAAGTACCACAACCAGGCCTGTGTACCACCCTTGGTCATGGCAATAAGAACAAAGGGAAGGGGGAAGAATAGCAGATGGAGATGAAGCCTACATTGTTTATCTAAAGGGCTCATCCTGTGAAGTGTTCCAAAACAAAGGGTGCACTCCTACAGCCACTCTACTGTTGAGACTAGCTATATTTATATTACAAGTCAGGTTTATACTTGCATTAAAGGTCACTGTGATAGGAAGAGGAATAGAAGTTATAGGAAGAAGGTCTGGAGATAGCAAGATTATTTGGGGTATTAGTTACAAGGACATCAACAAGGACAAATCTGACCCTTTCAAGTATCTCTGTACTCAGAGACCTTGAACAGATTTAAAGCTGAGAAGGAGCCACTCTGTCTCAAATGCTTCCTGAAATCCCCATCATTTAGAAAGTTCAGTATTTTGTTTTTTAATAAAACAAAACTTTTCTTTTCTTTTTTTTTGGGGGGGGGCCACACCAAGCTGTGCTCAGGGTTTACTCCTGGCTCTAGACTCAAGGAACACTCCTGGCAGGGCTTGGAGGAGTAAATGCAGAGCCATGGATCAAACTTGTGGAGGCTGCATACAAGGCAAGTGTCTTAAGCCTTGAACTATTTCTCCGACCCTGAACTAAAAATTTCTTTTTATGTTTGACAGTCATCAGGTATTATCAGGGATATACAGTTGACTTAGGCACAGCCCTTGCCTGCAGCTATCTATGTAGCTGCAGTGCTAAGACCCACACAGTGGCAATAATAATAAAATGTACATTGTGACAGGGCTGGAGCGATAACACAGTAGGTAGGGCATTTGCCTTGCATGTGGCCCACCCAGGCGAACCAGGTTCGATTCCTCTGTCCCTCTCAGAGAGCCTGGCAAGCTACTAAGAGTATCTCACCTGCACGGCAAAGCCTGGCAAGCTACCCGTGACATATTTGATATGCCAAACACAGTAACAAGTCTCACAATGGAGATATTACTGGGCCCACTTGAGCAAATCGAGCAAATCCATGAAAAATGGTAGGACAGTGCTACAGTGCTACATTGTGACAAGAAAACGGGAGGTCTGAAGCTACAATGACTGATGACAATAGAGAAATAAAATACTTATTTTTAAAACTTCTGTTGGAGGGGCTGGAGCAATAGCACAGCGGGTAGGGCATTTGCCTTGCATGCGGCTGACCCGGGTTCAACTCCCAGCATCCCATTTGGTTCCCTGAGCACCACCTGGGGTAATTCCTGAGTGCAGAGCCAGGAGTAACCCCTGTGCATCGCCGGGTGTGACCCAAAAAGCAAAAAACAAACAAACAAACAAACAAAAAAACCTCTGTTGGAAGTTCAATGTAGTCTGGGATGAAGTGAGGGGCATTTTAGCAGAGGATATATAAAAACAGGTAATGGGGAGTCAGAGGAAAGAAGATTTTGAGATGATGAATGCATACCGATAAGAACTAAATTCAGGAATGGAAGGCAAGTACAAGACGTAAAGCAAGAAACAAATGAACTGTGAGATGTCTTTCAAAATGCAAAGAACTAAAGGGGAGGTGAGAGGAAGAAAAGGATCAGTAGAAACTCCTCCATCAAAGATTTGTGTAAATGTGCAGGTGTTACCTTGTAGAAACCAACTCTGTAGTAAACAGATATTTAGTCAGCTTGGACAGAAAAAAATTTTTTTAAAAAGAATGTGTCTATGAATACTGTCTTCATTGGGACTACAGAAGCTAAAAGGAAGGACCAGAGAGACTAAGAAGGCGCCAGGAGACAGGAAAGGGCACTGACAAAAATGAATGTATAAAGGAAGCATGCTTGTCCCCATATCCCTCCTCCCATCATTTTAGCTACGATCTCCCAAACCGTAGGCTCTGTCCTATGATCAACAAATCATCATCAGTGAATTATTAGAATGAACCAGGCTAAGAAGCGAGGCGTGATGACCCCCGGTGAATTCCTGTGCAGTGTCTGAATGAATGAATCTCATTTGAAAAGAAACACAAGCAGTCCCCATTCCTGGCACACAGAGGGCACCCAAACATTTGTTTTATCATCCGAACACTGCTTATCCTTTGTCTGAGAGACTCAGCAGAGGAGAGGAAGTGATTCAAAACTGCAACCTTAAGACGCTGCAGTCTGCCTTAGCGCCGCTTTCCCGGCCCTGGCTCGGTTCGGTCGCTTAGGTCACTAGGTCCAGCGGGGCTCAGTTCAAGCAACCAATCGCCGCAGGACCACGGGGCGGAGCCACCGACCCCGCCCACTCCCAGCCCCCCCCCCCGCCTCTCCTCAGGTCCCGCCTCGCTCGCACCTGCGCGTCCCCCGCCTTAACCCCCGCCCCTCACCCGGGCGCTGGGGCTGGTGCAATCCCGCCCGCCACTCCAGGAGGGGGGCGGCGGTAAGGTGCGAGGCTGGGGGTGGGCTGCCTCGCCTCTCGCGAGACCGTCTCCTAGGGCCGCCGCTCGGGCCGCTGAGTGGCGGCGCTTGCGCAGCCGCCGTGTTCGGTTGCTATGCTGCGGCCCGGGAGACGGGGCGTGCTTGAGGGAGGAGGGGGAGGAGGAGGAGGAGACGGAGGAGGAGGAGGAGGAGGAGGAGGAGGCGGGGCTGCGAGCACCTCCTGCACTCTCACACACAGACGCTGCCCGGGATTCGGCGCCCGCTCGCGCCGCGCCGCGCGCTTTTCCGCTCCTCGCGGGCCGCCCCCACCTCCCCCACATTGTTCTCGCCGGACCCCTGGGTGCCCCCGAAGCCGCCTTCGGGGCCCGAGCCGGGGAGAAGGGAAGAGATCGGACTTGGAGCCGAAGGGGCCGGGGATTGGGGCCAGGCCCCCCCGCCACCCCTCCTCCCCCGACCCCCTCGAGTCCCGGGGTGCCCCGCCCCCACGGCACCTTTTCGCGCGCGCGCGTGTGTGTGCGCGGGTGCGAGTGTGTGCGGATTATCTCATCCCGGTCGGGAGGTGGGAGCGCGCGCGCCTCCCTCGCGTCTGTCTCCCGGCGGCGGCGGCGGCGGCGGCGGCGGCGCCGCGCCGGCCCGCGCGCCCCGCAGTATGAGGCGGTGCTGGCGGCTCGGGGCCGTGGCGCGGCCGCTGCGGCGGCGGCTGCTGAGGAGCTGCTGAAGGGAGCCCCGGCGGGGAGCGGCGCGGCGCGGCGCGGCGGACGCGGCGGACGCGCTTCGCCCCCGGCGCCGCCCGGGCCTCGAGGCTTTCGCCTTCTCCAGCCGAGAGGACGCGGCTGTGACTCGAAGGTGAGTCTCTTCCCCTCCGCCTCCACCCCCGGCCTCTCTCTTCTCGGCCCTCGCTCGCCCGGCGCGAGGCTTCTTGCCTGAGGCGTGTGTGTCTCCTGGAGGCAGGGGGTGCGGGATGACGGGGGTCGTCGGAGATTGATTTCGATAGAACGGGGGTGGGAAAGGGATGCTCTCCCCCCACCCCCAACCTCCGCGCCCCGCACACACACCCACTCCGCCGCCTCCCGCTTTCCTCCTTCCCCGGGACCTCCGCCCGCAGCGCGCCCCGGGACTAGCCGGCTGGGGATCTGTGGCAACGGGGGCGGTGGAGGCGATGCGCTGGGTCGCGGAGATGGGATCTTGCGCGGGACCTGCGTTCCAGGTGAGGTTTTAGAATCTCACTGATTTGTTTTTTTTGATCCCGTGGCTGGTGGAGTTCTGTGTGTGTGTTTCCTTCTCCCTCTCCGTTCTTCATTGGCTCTTGGGAGAGCTTCCTGCATGCATCGCGGCGCGACTAGTCGGTCCCTACGGTGAAGTTTTATCCAGAAAGCCTCTGGGAATTAATTCTGAGGGGGATTTCGTACTCGCAGTTTAGGACTCTGTAGTTGAGGGAAGAGGGGGAAAAAAAAGAAAAAGTTGAGGTGTCGCTAAGTCGACGCAGCGATGCTTCCCCCCCCCGGGTTTCTTGCCACCGGCCAGTTTCTAGTCGCACGTAGACGCGGATGGATGTTTCTGTGGCCCTTGGAAGGGGAGACCTCGAGTGACACCGCTGTTTCTGCACCGGGACCAAAGACCGTCCGTAGGGGTTTCGAGCGCTTGTTTGAGGAGAGCTTGTGCGTCTGCCAAAACGCCAGCCGTTTTTCCTTGGAGATTGGAGTAGTATCTAGATCTTTGCGACCCGATCTGGCGCCCCGTTTGAAACGGTACCGTTTAAAGCATGTTTATGGAGGAGAAGAATGGTATAACAAAAAGCCATTGCATCCGACTTGTGAAGGATGGCATGAGTAAAAAGATGGAAACAGTAAACGCCGGGGCATTTAAAAACCCCGGTGGTTTTTTTTTTTTTGAACCTTTAAGTGCCGGAGAAAAACTAATTGTCTTTTTTTTTTTTAAAATCAGCGGAAAAGAGTGCCTTAAAATAAATGTGCTTAACGGAGTAGAACTAGTTCTATCCGTTTTGAAGTTGATGAATGCAAAATAAAACCTATGGGTTATTTTTTCAAAAAAAAACCTTGTAAACAAAAGTTAAGAACTTACTAGTTTGCAGTGCATTAATTTTGTAGGCCCCACCATTTTTTGTCAGTAAATTTATGCTCCAGTTGCCACAAAAGCTATTTTATACCTTCGTTTTTGTTTTAATAGCACACTTTGCTACTGTTTTGCATTGAATCATGTCCATGGTCCCATAATTAAGTAGTTCATGAGAAAAGTGGTCATTTTTATACTCGGTAATATTTTTGTGATTTAGCCAATCTGTCTCAAACATTTGGCAAGAGTATATGAAAATATAAGGCACCATCATTATTTTGTCAATTAAAAAAATGTTCCTTGAGTAGGTTAAAGCTTCTAAGTTAGAAAAAGGCCAGGTTTCTCAAAAATAGATGTGGATATGTCTTGCTTTTAAGCTTTTTCTAAACCTGCTTATCTTCTAAGCTCTTTGAATTGCTTCAAATTTCTTATTTCATGTCTTAAAAAATATCCCTAATAACTTTGTTACTTTAAATTTGTGACACCCAATTTCTAATTTAGGCCAGGCATAAAACCAGCATTGATTGAACACACTTGCTAAAAATACTTTCTGGGTCAGATGTACTTAGAATGCAGCCTCAGGAAAATTCATTTGAACTGTTCTTCTGTGATCACTGTACGCTTTATTATTATTGAAGGACTTAAAAAATTAGTTTCTCACAAGTTAGATTTCATCCATTCTTGCTTGCATAGAAGCTTAACTTTCTCTGTACTAAGTATAACGTGGGACAATAAAGTACTTTTCATGTATGTATTTTACTTGAGACTTTCTAGACTATTACTAAAGTCTCATTTGTATATTCAGAATATTTTAGTTTTGTCTATAAAACATGAGTTGTAAATTGGCAGTGTAATTTGCAGTATTATTTCGTATTTATTTATGACTTAAATCCCGAAGGAGGAATTGAATCAGTAGTATGTGTTTGGGTTAGTTTCCTTTAAGGAACAAAGTAAGAAATAAGAAACTCCCTGATAATTTGAATGAGACAGCGACAGGATTTGAGAGAACTTCCCCCGTCTCCCCTTTTTTAGAGAGTTGTTAATAGTTTTAAACAAGGAAGCTGAAAAATCTGTAGACATATTGTTCAGTCATTGTTTAAAGATAAATGTTTAAAGTTCAGCTTTAATTCTTTGTATTGGTAGGGATGTAAAATTGGTGGCCTCGTTACTAATTATGGTGTAATATGCATTATTGTTCCTAAGTAAAATTTGATATTTGCACATATTCACTGATTATAAGCTCAGTTAAATTTTGTTGTGTTTTAAAAAATTTGTTATTGTCTATATTTGTTAAATTTGTAAATTTACTAGATGAAGCTGTAAGGCTTGAAGATTTGTTTAGTATTCTGGAAATCCTTTTTATTGTTTGCCAGGAAAGTGTGCTGTAGGAGGAAGGTGTTATTTTTTCTTTTAATATTTCAATCAATAGTACAGATGGTGAGAAGGAGTATAATGTAAAAGTACTATAAAATCTTTATTGGCATGGAAGTGCAGTATCCAAGAACTAATTTTTTCCCCCCATTGGTATGGTTATAAGTAAAATAGAATAGGAAGCAAAGAAAGGAACATTTATTACATTCTTTTCAATTTCATTAGAAACAACTTCCTAGCCCCCCTCTCCCCCATTCATTTTTTTCTTTCACCTTTTCTGAGTAAAAGACTGAAAGAGAGATGCAAATATTTGAAGCAATTGGTAGGAACAAAATGAAAACTAGGTCCTGTGGACTATCTTTGGAAGGGAGACATTAATTTAGGGGAGTTACTGTGTTTCTCATCTTTTAACAACAGGCTTTTAGAATAGTAGAAAGAAGAAAGGATCCAGAAGGGAAGTGTTTATTGTCTGTTATGTGCCAGACGTGTAAAAGGGCTTTTCATGTTATCCCACATAATTATCAAGTGCACTTTGTACAATAGGTATTATTAATCCCCTGCTCTCTGCATCCCTACCACCATGGGAGCAGAAAGAAATTAAATAACTTGTCAAAGATCACACTGCCAGTAATTAGTATTCAAAGTTGATCTGTCTGGCTCAAGGGTATTCTTTGTATCATGCTGACCAATTAAACTGTGCAGTGGTGAAAATACTCTTTTTTTTTTTTTACACTATCAGATATTTAGCCTTTGACCATGTAAGATATTAAACACTGGAAATGTAACTATCAATTCTGAGGAATTGAATTCACAATTGTGTTTCATTTTAACCAGTTTAAATAACCAGATGTATTCATTAGTTACAATATTGGGCAGCACTGCAAAATCTGAGTTGAAGTATTGAATCTCCACTAATTTATACATTACATTAAACAAATTATTAGAGTTCTTGAGCCCCAGTTGATGTTGTGAAGATGAAGAAGTCACTAGATAATTTTTTTCAAAATGTCTTTCATTACATTTTTATGATTTTTATTAGAATTATGGTAACATTTAATTTATTCTGAAGCATTATATTTTTTTCAGAGCCTTTTTGTGAGATATTCATCACTTATATAAGAATTTTTATTTGCTCAATCTCGCGTTTTGCAGAGTATGCGTAAGTAAAAAGTAATGGCCTTATTCCTTGTCTCCAATTATTTGACCAAAGCACTGCGTAACCAAAAAGCAACACTTTAGCTTGAAAAAGGTTTGAATTTTTGAAGATTGTATTTTAGTATGCCATCTTCTCATTTAAGAGTATATTTCAGTTCCCTACTGTGTATCAAGTTAATTCCAGAGTTATCTGCATGGCCTTGAAGACTTTCTATCAACTAACCCTATTTTTCATTCTTAAGAGGAAAACATTTTTGTTTTTTTCCTTATCCTTGTTTCTTCAGTTTAAAACATTTCTGTCTTCAGTCCAGTTTTTTCCTCAGTAACTCTTCTTCCAAAATGCACCTTTAAGAAAAACCCAGAATTTTCAGGCTTTGAATCCTGGTACTAATTTGTTTGGGTTAGTACATTTTTGCCTAGATATAATTAGTTGAGTGTATCTTTTTTTAAAAAAATATGTTACTATTCTCTGACTTTAATGAAAAAAAAATATTTGTGTTGCCCTATGTATTTAGTAATTGCTCAGTAGTTCTACTTTTTAAAGTTGCTAATTTGACCTCCTATATATAAACAAGTATATAGTAGAAGACTAATAGCCATGGCTATTAGTCTTCTACTATATATGTTTATATACTGCAAATGAGTGAAGTCATTCTATGTCTGTCCCTCTTCTTCTGAGTGATAACTCAGCATGATACTCTCTCTATGTCCATCCATTTATAGGCAGTTTCATGACTTCATTTTTCCTGATATCTGCATAGTATTCCATTGTGTAGATATGCTGTAGTTTCTTTATCCATTTGTCTGTTCTTGGGTACTCAGGCAAGTGGTTTCCAGAGTCTGGCTATGGTGAATAGTGCTGCAATGAACATAAGAGTACAGATGGTGTTTCTACTGTGTGTTTTTGGGCTCCCAGAACATGTTCCCAGAAGTGGTATTGCTGGGTCAAATGGGAGCTCAGTTTCTAGTTCTTTTGAGAAATGTCCTTATTGTTTTTCAAAAAGGCTGGACCAGTCAGCATTCCCACCAACAGTTGAAGGAGAGTCCCTTTCTTCCCACATCTACATCAACACTGGTTGCTTTTGTTCTTTTGGATGTGTGCCAGTCTCTGTGATGTGAGATGATATCTCATTGTTGTTTGGATTTGCATCTCCCTGAACATTAGTAATGAAAAGCATTTTTTTCATGTGTCTTTTGGCCATTCGAATTTCTTCTTTGAGAAAGTTTATGTTCATTTCATTGTCCCA